AATCCACCACTCCTTCACTGCCCCAGTCTAAATTTACAAGAAACAAGTCTTTATCAGAAAAAAAAGAAGACGAGGAAAATGATTTCTTCTTTATTTATTTATTCTCTAAATGAAACTAATACAAAGACTCTTTATAACCAAAAACAAAAACAGATAAAAGATTTGATGATATGTAAAACATGAAATGAAATGTTACATAAAGAAGTTTTTCAGAGCATGCAGAAGGCAGAAAGGGTGCCCCCTCTCCGTACACTGCATAATTCTTATTTTTGCATGAACTCTTATTTTTGCAAGTGTACCAATGGAGTAATTACATGTGGCAGGATTTTCAGGTGTTTGAGCTGCTCATGATCTCAACAGTAAGAGTTATTAAAGCTGCCCGAACATCAACTATAACTAGAGCAACATGTTTCAAGGAAAGTGGACGCAACAATGGTAAGATATCATCTTATGCCTATCTAAGGTATTGTGGAAGATGTGTTCATATCTCAATTAAACAATTCTGCATGCGCAATTGTAAATTTGGACATATTACAAGCCTAACCAAATTAACCATTTAAACCCCCTTTGAAAAGATTTCCAAATTGTGGTCTGCATATGAGATCTATAAGTGTCAACCTAAAGGCTTAATTTAAAATGCGTGCTGTCAAATATGAGGCAAAATTTAACCAATCGGACATCAAACTCAGAAAGCAACAAAATTTGGTATATCTACAGCTTGAGATAGTCAAAATAATAAAAAATGTGCAGACAAATATATGAGTGACGAACTCAATGATGAGAAAGTTGTAATTAGAAACAAAGGGCTCATGAGAGACAAAAAAAAAAAAAAAAGCTTCATTTTTTAGTTTACCTTGAAATAGTAGTCCCTCATGGCTCTGCGTGCAGTCTGAAGATCTCCCAAATCAAATAACTTGAACTTAATATTCCCAATACTAAGCTCCCGTGATGTTGGATGGCTTAGCTTCCCTGATGTTGGACGGCGGTCTGGCGGGGGTATCCCCTGCGAACAGTTCACCAACGATCAATGTCCGAACCCAAGAGCTTAATTACCCTAGTCCCTAGTAGTTATTATTGATATTCAAGCAGATAAGGTAAAATGAAGCATGTGGGGGCACTTAATCAGTTAAGTTCATCAGTTTTTCATCTATTCCTAACTCAAAAGATGAAAATCAGCTCACAAATCAGGTTCAATTAAGAGGGGAATTCTGGGTTTAACGAATCGTAAACGATGAAACAAGATTTAGGGATTCAGAATTTCATTCCAGTTAGATAAAAACCGAACAAAGCGGTCACAACAATTAAACCCAACTGATGAAAAATCAAATAAACACATAATTATGAAATTGAAAACGAACCCCATCTTTCGGCATAGAAAGCAAGGCGGTCTTTTCATGACTACCACGACCCAGAACCAAGATCGTCGCCTCCTTCATCGTCTCCTCCTTCATCGTCTCCTCCTTCTGCCACAGACCGAGGGAACGAAGAGTTGGATAAAACCAATCAGTAACACCCATGGCTTAAACTTGGAGGGTTTCTCAATACGATCAGATCGAGCTCGAATTGGTAAAGATATACTGTTTGGATTGGAGGTCTCGGACAGAAAGGAGGGGGGAGGGGGAGTGCGGGGGACGGAGGATCAAAACCTACTCATAGCGTTAGAATAATAATAAAGAGAATTTTTGAATCTGACAGCAAAGAGCTCATGCAAGCTGTTAACAAAAAAGGTTCATTTCCCCGGCAAAAGGTACCGTTTGCCCCTTAACTTTTCGGATTTAAGGGTTTTTACCCTCCATATTACAATACATGAATTTTTACCTTTCATATTTTTGAGTTTGAGAAAATGAGGCAAAATTTAACGCCGGAGTGTCACGTGTAGCACGTGCATCGTTGGCCTCCATCAAGTATGCACATATCAGCGCCACCTCAGACTTTTTTGACAACTTGGCATGCCAACTTGGACCCCATGAGCGGAAAGTCTACTTGCTACCAATTTTATTTGTGGGTCCCACCACTGACTAAAGGTTTGAAAAAAAAAAAAAGACAGATGAATGCCAGGAAATCGTTTGACTATTCACTTTCCTCTTCCCTTCTTCAACCATTTCTTCAACTTCTGCAAATCTCTAACATCTCAACCAATCTATTCACCTCAATCAAT